GTGGAACCGCGGTACCTGTTTCTAGTGAAGTCCTCTTGACTTCTTCTCAAAGTACTTTAGGACCCTTCCAACGAATCTCAAAGCAATCTTTGTTCTTTTTTCTTCCTTCTTGCAATCTCATGCGCCAATCCCACCCTCCATCCTTATACCACATTTTCACATACTTCTTCGTCACAACTCAAAAAGGCGGCCTGGCTGCCACCTCATCCATTATCACATTCTTCAAACCAAACCCAAACCCAAAAGCAAATACCCAAAAAGAACAACCTCAAAATCTTCAAATCCTTGAAAAAACAAAAGAAAAGAAAACTGTTCCAAAATTACACAATGTTTTTCATTCTTTCCCATAACTGAAACACAAAACAAACCCAAAAAAGAAAAATCTTAAAAACTCGAAATCTTGAGAAACACGAAGAGAAAACAATTTGAAGAAATGGAAATGTGCTGCTTTACAACCTATCTGATGAACCAGAAGTGAGAAGGGTGGGTGAATTCAAGGTTTTTTTACGCCATCAATTGGATCTATTTACCAATAGCCCCTTAGTGCAAAGAAGAAGAGTGGGTTGTTGAAAAACTCTTTGGGAGAAAAATAGTGGGTTAGGGAAGGGGAATGAATGGAGATTGTGAATGATTTTGATAGGAAAGAGGCGAACTACGAATGAACAAGAGAAGAGAAGTTTGTGAAAGATTTAGCCAACTCTACTGCCAAATTTGATGGGATAGGCCAAAAGTTTGATGGGATAGAAGAGAAGTTAAGTTTGGAGAGAGAGAGAGAGAAGGCAAACAAAAGGTGTTGTAGCCTTGTAGGGTTGTCAATGCTACGAAAGAGAAAAACTTTTTTTCTTTAAATTAAAAACGGGCACCTGTGGGTGTACCGGTCTACCGTTTACAAAACGGGTAGGGCCGGGTAGGGTCTTAAAAAACGGGTTTAATAATACAGACCCATACCTATATAATTTACCGGGTATGGGGTCGACCGCGGGTCCCAACCGTTTTGCCAGGTCATTGTGAACATTTCAGCACTGTGGGCCCTCTCTCTCTCTCCTTTCTCTTTCTTAAAAATTAAATTCACAAAAATACCAAAGGGCAGTGTGCTAACCTATGAATACTATATAGAGGATGCTATGTTGTGCACTATTGCCTACCGTGTAGTGTATACCAATATGTGTGGCATAATCATATAGCACTACTAATTGGTTTGTAAGCATCTTGACACTAGCTGTGCCATTTGATAAGTTGTTCACCGTAAACATACGAGAATGAATTGAGAAGTGAGGATGTGAAATAAGTTCTGATTTTTTCCTTTTTTCCGTTTCTTTTTTCCACATAGCCCATATTGAAGTTTGTTTTCATTTTCCTTTGAAGTTTAAATGCAACCAATTGATATTTAGTTTAATATTCCTCATGATTATGCTCTCTCTCAAACAGAAACTGCTTTTCTGATTCAGTTACTTCATTTATAGAAATGTGTTTCTAATGTATCGTTTTGAATCATAAATTGATTTATTTATTATGATTACGAAATATCTCTCTCATGCTGAATTTGAATTTTCTAGTACGAATATATTGGGGTTCATTTAAATCTTGATGTTCCAAAGTGGTTGCAAATACTTTACTTGGACAGGTAAAAGCATATGCAGGTAACTCACTATCACCCACCTCCCCCTTATAGTTGTTTGTTTGTAGTCCTAATCTTTAGGTCTCTTGATTTAAGGGAGGCAGAAGAAAAGCTTGTCTGTTTTGGAATTGGGTTATCTGGTTAGAAAGAAATAGGAGAATTTTTGAGGATACAATTGGAGAAGGGATTTGGTCGAGGGTGATAAAGTAAAATTCTGGGCTTCTCTTTGGGTGTCTATTACTTAAAAATTCAAAGATGTTTCTTATTTCATATTTAACAGATTGGAACTTCAGTTATCTAGCTAGGGAAGATTTTTGTGCAAATTTGATCAGGAATTTGATTTTCAGTTTGAAGATTTTGGAATAGGGAGGTGTGCTTTCGTTTTGTGTTGTTCTATGAATCCTTGGGTTTAGGGACAGCTTGTCCTTTTATATGGACATATGTCCATTCTTGTATACTTTGTGTACTTTTTTTTTTACAGAGAATCTTTGTCTCTATGCAAAAGAAAGTTAGAACTCAGTAAATTTTCTTGCTCTTTATTGTGAAAGCCATTTAACTAAATATTTTTACACGCTATAATTTCAAAATTATGGAATGCAATCTGGCTAATGAGTTTAATTTTCATCTTTATGATTTTTTAGATTTCCAAGTTTTTTAATATATACTGGTAAGGGGTTGGAACCAAGATATTAATGCAGAAGTTTAGCAAACGGGGGTTTGCTTCATTTTTTGTAATATTACGCAATAGGGTAGGATAATCTGGTGGGTATGCTTACCTTTCTGAGTAAAAATGTTAAATGGTTATTACAAAATACTGGTTGGATTTGTAGATCATATGATTTATATGCAGGAGTGAATATTTAGTAGAATCACATCCTCTCTTTTTCAGCTGCCTGAGTTGTGTAATAAGATTTAATATTTTATAAAATCTGTCATCTTGCAGTGCAGTGGCTTGAGATAGAAGCAAAGTGTTTGAACCTACTTATTATACACAATGGAGAAGGTAATTCTTTTTTATTTATTTTTTATCTTAGGTTTTCTAATGTTTCTGAATTAACTTGTTCTGTAGGGAATTTCTGTACCTGAATCAGCGAGGTCTCAGCATAACATACGCTGTTAATATTAGCATATCAGCTAGGCATTCCTGCTTTGGAAACAGGTTATTCGCTAATTGCAACTACATACCATGGTTTGGCTTATCTTGAAATTGACAAATATCTGTTGTATGACATTTTAAGTCTTAAGTTATTATTCTAGATATTAGTATTCTTAGTTTTAAATTATATAGAAACTTAAGTGCCTGCATATGTCATTTAAGCAGAGAATTACAGTTTATAACTTAAAACCATATTGGAAAATATATGATGCTACTAAGTCTGTTATTTCATCTGTGTCTACAGCATCATTTTCACTGGTTTTTGAACTTTTTTGCGAGTATAAGTTTTTGGTGTTGTATTAATCATGCATATAACAGTTTGGCACATTATTCATTACATATTTTATCATCGAAGAATTGTTATTGTCTGGGGAGAAAGTGAAAAGAGTTGCAGTGAGAGCTTAAATTTAATGAAGGAAAATTTCAGTTTAAAATAATGGCTTTTTAGCTTTACTCTAGAAACAGTTATGGCAATGCCAATTATGATGCTAATGGTCTGGCAATTTGATTTCAAGGTTTCAAGTTTAGTCATATCACATTGTTTATTGAATCAAGAGATTTTGTTGTTAAAGCTTTTGAAAAGTTAATGTGGGAAAAAATTGCCATAAGTCTCTAAATTTTGTTTCCATTTTAAAGCTTCGAGTGGTATGCATGTGAAGCTTGAGCTAAAATGTACTTGAATTTTTCTTACATACAGGTGGCAACAACTTCTCATAAATAGATTGTGTGGATATGATACTATTTTGATGAATAGCTTACTGAACTCTCCTGGTCAAGGTAACTGTCGGTTCTCTGGATTCTGCTATATGAAATTTTATTTACAGTACATCTTATGCAAAGTATATAGCATGAAATGCAAAATATATAACAGTGTCAGTTTGTCTTTGAGTTTATAATTTTTTTAGTTGAATTTATAATATTTTATATGTTTGTTGACAGCTTGAATCACAGAATAGCTAGGCCATAGCCCTGCAATCATGCGGAATGGCCTTTTTCTACTGTTTCTTTATTAAATTAAAAAAAAAAAAAAAATCTGAAGGTTTCGCTTCCAATGACATCTTTCCCATTTAATGTTTTACTAATTCAGTGAGCGTCTGTCTAACATAACTTTTTCTTTTCTCTCACTTAACTTTGGCTGTTGTCAACAGCAGCAATGGGTATTCTTGAGTTTGGGAAAGTGAAGTTGGGTGAAAGGACATGGAACTTTAACTGGATATTTGATTGGCTCGATCCATGTTTTATTCTTTCTCATTGTTTGCTTAGTAGTTTGATAAATCATCAATTTAATATGTTTTTGGGTAACTGTGGCTTTCAAGTTTAAATACAAAATTTTTCTAAAACTTTGGATTGTGTTTGTACTAAAGAATCTTAAATACATAACTTGTATGCTTCATGGATTATATGTTTAAAAATAATAACATTTTCTTTGGTCTAACCTCAAACTGCCAAATCAAACCAAACAGAATTACAAATTTACATTTTGGTATGATTTGGTTTTGGGGGTTTAATTATTTGGCTTAATTTGCGATCAAGATACCAAGCCATGTTTTGTTTGATTTGGTGATTCTCAAAAAACATAGACAACTCCTAGGTTTTCTGTACTTTACACAAATTTTGACATAAATTTATGACTTAGATAGCAATGGTTTGGAGTTAAACTGATTTGGGATTTTTATGTTTAAATAAATTAACAAGTTGTACTTCTGTCATGGAAACAAATGCTGGGATTCTTTCTCCTCTCTTCTCTCTCTCATTGAACTGCTTTATTTCTCAATTAAAAATGACATGTTACTCTTTGCCTCTTTTCTCTGTTCTCTATCATCGAAACCATCCTTTTTCTGTTAAACTATTTTTGATCTATAATTACGTTAGTTATAGACTTCTTACATTTGATAATGGAACTCTTAACTCTAAACTATTTTTGCTCTTTGTGTAAATATTTGAGAATCCAAGTATTTTGATTCAAAGGAAGAAAATGATACTGTATGGACTCCTGGCCAAAATATACAAATAGATTTTTCAGAATTACATATAGTTCTGAGTGAATTGATGCATGCACTCTTAATCAATTAAAATATCATTGAAATACTGGCAAAGGAAATGATTCCATGTATTATAGAAAAACGAAAACAAGGTGAGGAAAAACTAATACAGGTACTCAAAAGTCAAGAAATGAGATGAGATTTATGAGGTGGGTCACTAATCACTTCTTGAATTTGTTTGCAGGTTATCTTTTTAATTATCAGACAAAGGAGTTCTATAATCTTAGTTATGCTCACGAACCACCAGAAGGTCCTGCAAAGTTTGGAGGTTTGATATGTTTTGCCTTATTTCTTCTTCTATGAAGTGCTTGTTTGTGTGTTGAGGTTGCATTATCTTATTTAATAATGTCCTTGATGCAATTTATATAGGTCTTATTTGGTTGGCGATTATTTATCAATTTGTTTTTTTGATGTCAGGAATTGTTTGCTGAACATGCATCAATACTGTGTCTTGACATGGGCAAGAGTGTGTGATTCCCACTTTCGTAGGAGTTTGGCAATAATTTGAAGTGTTTAGCACATAAGACATGAATTATAATTTAAAAAGAAAAAAGAAAATGACAAACATCCAGTGATTTTCATTTGTTGTCATTCTATTCAAAATTACATTCACGTCCCTAGAACTATCTTAGAAAAAGAAAACTGAATGGGCATGTTTCTTATTTTTTTTCCTGGTAATTGTGTGCCAATTTTCCTTGTGGAGATTATATTTCTAAAACAGAAATGCCAAAAAAGAAAAAAAAAGAATTAATTTTTACTATTTTCTTGTTGGAATGAAGTAAAGCTTTACTTCCATAATGAGTTTTATCTATAGGACTTGCTTGCATTAGATCTCTGTATTCCACTGATATCTCTCCTCTTTCTATAAAACAGCCAACCTACTTTCTCCATCCGCATCCTGTCCTGGCCTAAAAGGTCCAAAAAAAAAAAAAAAAAAACAAACAAACAATTTTAATTGATAGTGTTTCATTTGAAGGCAATCCACTTGTAAACTCCAGCAAATATCATGTATAGTGAAAGCCTTGTTAGATAACAAAATATTCCTTGGGTAAATGAAGTAGATTTGTTGTGCATAACTGTATTAAAAGATCCCAAGTACTATAGCGTGATGCTGAGTTTGCATCATATTGCACTCAGAGAAGTTGGTCAATTTTGTATCTGAATATTTGCCTATTGTTAACAATTACCTATATTAGTGATACATGACATAGCAGGAGGAATTTCTTTAGTTATTGAATCAAGTATATGTATATTGATTGTGACCTGATGGAGTTAAGAGTTATCTCTTTTTTCTTTAATATATGCAGATTATCTGGTGACAAAATGTGGCGTGCTTATGATGTCATTATTTGTCTTTTTCACAACCACAATGTCAGTTTCATTTACGTTGAGAGAGACACAGACTCGCATGCTGAAGTTTACAGGTCTGCTTTATGTAATCTTTTTCTCTGGGGTCGTAACATGGTGTAATCACCGCACAGCAGAACATGTTAGATACTTTTGTTCCTTTTTTCAACCCTTTTTACAGTCAAGCTTACAAAACCCCTTTCCACCTGCTATGAGCCAAAACCTGTTTAAATACTTGAGATATAACCAATTGAGCTAGCTAATACCCACATATATTTTTGTTCATTCCTGCCGGTTAATTTGTAGAACAACCTCATTGATGTAGTTGCTTATTTCTCACCTTATCGTGTTTGCACTCTTGGAAGAGGTTTCAATAATTATTTAGGTTCTGTAGAGGATGTAATTTCTGTGATGAGAGTTCATCCTTTATATTACTTGATTGATGGGTTTAGTGGGAACAAGCTCTGTAATTGGTAGCATTATTGGTGTGCCATTACCACCATGCATCATGATTCTTCCTGTCCTTTTTTGCTCTGATTATGATATGATTGGATGTACCCTACTCTCAAATTACTGCAGTGCAGCTTCAACACCATGCTCGGCATCAGCTTCCGACATTTCAGTTGATCTTTGTGCATGTAATTGAATCCCTTGTCTTTGTACCGGTATGCATTGATCCTACTTCTTTATTTAATATTGAAGAGTTTTAAATATCCCATCTTTTACTTTTTAGATTTTTGTGCTATTAGCACTTAACTGATAGAGACTTGTATGTTGGATTGTGTAGATAATGATTGGTATCCTCTTTTTCCTGTTCGAGTTTTATGATGACCAGCTGTTGGCTTTCATGGTTTTGATTCTTGTCTGGTTATGTGAACTATTTACACTGATCAGGTCTCTCTCTCTCTCTCTCATATTACGAAACATGGTAAAAGAGGCCATAGGTTCATGTTACTTGTCAACCATTGATATTAGTTGGTTTTTTTAGTTAAAAGAATCAAAGCATATACTTGATTCTTTTATCTTTCTAATGTGTTTGTGCTTGATGTTATGTTGTAGCGTACGCACGCCAATCTCAATGAAGTTCTTCCCTCGCTTCTTTTTGCTCTACTTTCTGGTTTTCCACATTTATTTCTTCTCTTATGCCTATGGTATGAAGCCAAAATTTTTTTTTTTTTTTTTCTCACTGGAACTATTACTTTTGTCTTAGGGCATAACTATATTAAAATTTCCAGGTTTTTCATATCTGGCCCTCTCTACAACTGCAGCATTTATGCAGCACCTCATTCTATACTTCTGGAACCGTTTTGAGGTAACCAATCCCAAAAGCAAATTTAGGCTTTTAAATACTGATCCTTCATTGATTTATATTTCAACTTCCAGAGATCTTCCCTCTGAAATTGCATTCGCTGTAAATGTCTCAATGAGGCAGAGTGCCTATATAGCCTTTGTGTTAGTGTAAATCATGTTTTTATTTATTTCACTTATGTTCTTTGATTGAAGTTTGATCTTTCATTCCTTTGCTAATCTTACCTCAGGTGCCAGCTCTGCAAAGATTCATGCAAAATCGCCGGTCTCAGCTTCAGCAACATCCAGACTTCCAAATTACCTCCTCTACCATTCTTGCATCGACATTACATATCACAAGATTGAACACAAGGAACCCAGGCCCACCTAACACAGACATGGCCTCTGGGCAAGGCTGGAGACCTGGACCCGACCAAGCCATGCCGGCCAATCGGGCAGAAGCTCCTGGACCAGAACGATCAGAAAACGATAGTACAGATAGGGTTGGTAACACTACAGGGATCCCAGGACAAACTGACCTCCGGCAAGGCGAAACTGGTCCCAACCCAGGGACCATGAATTCATTTAGCTCACTATTGTTATGGATCTTAGGAGGGGCTTCTGCCGAAGGCTTCAACTCGTTTCTTTCGATGTTCAGAGATGTTAGAGAGCAAGGGCAAGTTTACGCTGAGCCTCCAAGGCCTGAAAATGGGGGAACTCAGAATGTGCAATAACAGAAATGGATTTTACAATTTAAAAGGAATCTAAATGCTAATTAGTTGTATCTTTATGTATCTCTTATAAACTTATAGCGCCAGGCTTGAACACTTTTTGTATAGAAATTATATTTGAGATATGTTGTAGGGCAAGCCTCCTTTCTTTTTTTTTTTTTTTTTGGAAGAAAAGAGAAGCTTGTATAGGCAATTATTTTGCTCTTGGTTCTTGCCAGAACTTTCATTCCCTTGTAAGAGAGAAAACGAGATTCAAAATCATTGTATGATAGCTGTTTTTTTGCTAATTAAGTTAATATTTTCTGATTTCATGTTACTATACTCCAACTTATCTATGGTAACGNTCACTGGAACTATTACTTTTGTCTTAGGGCATAACTATATTAAAATTTCCAGGTTTTTCATATCTGGCCCTCTCTACAACTGCAGCATTTATGCAGCACCTCATTCTATACTTCTGGAACCGTTTTGAGGTAACCAATCCCAAAAGCAAATTTAGGCTTTTAAATACTGATCATTGATTTATATTTCAACTTCCAGAGATCTTCCCTCTGAAATTGCATTCGCTGTAAATGTCTCAATGAGGCAGAGTGCCTATATAGCCTTTGTGTTAGTGTAACTCATGTTTTTATTTATTTCACTTATGTTCTTTGATTGAAGTTTGATCTTTCATTCCTTTGCTAATCTTACCTCAGGTGCCAGCTCTGCAAAGATTCATGCAAAATCGCCGGTCTCAGCTTCAGCAACATCCAGACTTCCAAATTACCTCCTCTACCATTCTTGCATCGACATTACATATCACAAGATTGAACACAAGGAACCCAGGCCCACCTAACACAGACATGGCCTCTGGGCAAGGCTGGAGACCTGGACCCGACCAAGCCATGCCGGCCAATCGGGCAGAAGCTCCTGGACCAGAACGATCAGAAAACGATAGTACAGATAGGGTTGGTAACACTACAGGGATCCCAGGACAAACTGACCTCCGGCAAGGCGAAACTGGTCCCAACCCAGGGACCATGAATTCATTTAGCTCACTATTGTTATGGATCTTAGGAGGGGCTTCTGCCGAAGGCTTCAACTCGTTTCTTTCGATGTTCAGAGATGTTAGAGAGCAAGGGCAAGTTTACGCTGAGCCTCCAAGGCCTGAAAATGGGGGAACTCAGAATGTGCAATAACAGAAATGGATTTTACAATTTAAAAGGAATCTAAATGCTAATTAGTTGTATCTTTATGTATCTCTTATAAACTTATAGCGCCAGGCTTGAACACTTTTTGTATAGAAATTATATTTGAGATATGTTGTAGGGCAAGCCTCCTTTCTTTTTTTTTTTTTTTTTGGAAGAAAAGAGAAGCTTGTATAGGCAATTATTTTGCTCTTGGTTCTTGCCAGAACTTTCATTCCCTTGTAAGAGAGAAAACGAGATTCAAAATCATTGTATGATAGCTGTTTTTTTGCTAATTAAGTTAATATTTTCTGATTTCATGTTACTATACTCCAACTTATCTATGGTAACGTTACTATATTAGTATCCTTTGGATAAGATAATTTAATAGAGAAATTGGATTAAAATTTAGGTGCACATCTAATATATGTTTAAAACAAAAACAGACAGAATCATTTCAATAACTAAAAAAAAAAAAAAATGCAAAGCAACGTAAAGTAACTGCTTTTATATTTTTGTCCTCTATCTTATTATAATACTAGTTGAAAGTCTCGCACGTTGCATAGGTTGTTTATGATATTGGTTTTGACATCACATTTATTTGAATAATTAGATGTTTCAGTTGGTTGATATCTACTATTGAGATATATATTGTAAAGGTCTATTAAATTAAAGATTTTAATTATATATAGTTTTACATTATGATTTTACTGTGTGGTATTGTTTTTTACGGTCAAAATGTCTAACACTTTAAAATGATGTCACTTCATACATTGTTTTAAATAACTTGTCATTTCTTTTAAGTGTGGTTCGACCACAATTAGAAGGATTTACATTTATCCAAATTCATCGTGTAATAAATCAAATTAAAGCTCTGCCTATCTAGTTTCCAAAGATTCAAACCGTTCATTAATTGGATTTTTATTAAGTTATGACCAATTTACTACCAACTGTTCAATGGAAATCGAGAAACAGAAGAAACCAAAATGTCTGTGATGATACTCGGCTGTGGGTCTACAGTTATCCAAATTCAGCATATATCAAATTAAAGGCATGTTTGTCTAGTTTCTGAATATTCAAACCATTCATCAATTAGATTTTTATTAAGCAAGTTATGGTCAATTTACTATTGATTATTCAGTGAAAAGTAAGGAAATGAGGAAACCGAAATGTGTGTGATGATAAAATGAATGGTTCGGCAGTGGGTCTACAGTTATTGAAATTTAGCATATAATATATCAAATTAAAGAACTGTCTATTTGGTTTCCAAATATTCAAACCGCTCGTCAATTGGATTTTTATTGAGTAAGTTATAGTCAATTTACTACTAACTGTTTAGTGGAAACTAAGAAATAGGGAAAACTGAAATGTGCGTGATGATAAATGAATGGTTCAATTGTGGGTCTATAGTTATCCAAATTTAGCATATAATATATCCAATTAAAGCTTTGTCTATTTAATTTCCAAATATTTAAGTCGTTCATCAGTTATATTTTTATTGAACAAGTTATGGTCAATTTACTACTGACTATTATATGAAAACCAAGAAACAGGGGAAACTGAAATGTATGTGATGATAAAATGAATGGTTTGGCTGCGCGTCTACAGTTATCTAAATCCAGTGTATAATATATCAAATTAAATCCCTATCTATCTAGTTTTTAAATATTCAAACCGTTTTTTAATTGGAATTTTATTGAGTAAGTTATGACCAATTTACTATTAACTGTTCAGTGGAAACCGAAAAACGAGGAAAATCAAAATATGTGTGATAATAAAATAAATAGTTTCCAAATTTTTATTGAGCAAGTTATAGTCAATTTGCTACTGACTATTATGTGAAAACCAAGAAACAAGGGAAACCAAAATGTGTGTGATGATAAAATAAATGGTTTGGATGTGCGTCTACAATTATCTAAATCCAGTGTATAATATATCAAATTAAAGGTCTGTCTGTCTAATTTCCAAATATTCAAACCGTCAGTCAATTGGATTTTTCTTGAGCAAGTTATGACTAATTTACTATTGACTATTAAGTGAAAACTAAGAAATAGGAGAAACTGAAATGTGTGTGATGATAAAATGAATGATTTGATAGTGGGTCTACAGTTATTGAAATTTAGTATATAATATAACAAATTAAAGCACTATCTATCCAGTTTCCAAATATTCAAACCGCTCGTCAATTGGATTTTTATTAAGCAAGTTATGACTAATTTACTACTAACTATTTAGTGAAAATCGAAAAATAGGAAAACTGAAATATGTGTGATGATAAAATGAATGGTTTGGCAGTGGGTCTACAGTTATCTAAATTCAGCTTTTAATATATTAAATTAAAGCTTTGTCTGTCTAGGTTCTAGAGATTCAAACCGCTCATCAATTGGATTTGTGTTGAGTAAGTTATGGTTGATTTACTACTGACTGTTCAGTGAAAACCGAGAAATAGGAGAAAACAAAATATGTGTGATGATAAAATGAACGGTTCGATAGTGAATCTACAATTATCCAAATTCAGCGTATAATTTATCAAATTAAAGCCATGTTTGTCTAGTTTCCAAATATTCAAACTGCTTGTCAATTGAATTTTCATTGAGCAAGTTATGACCAATTTACTACTGACTGTTACAATTATATAGTACAATAAATAATGGTTCGGCATCTGGTTTCTTGTAATTCTGTAGTACAATCTTCATTTGACATGTTTATTGATTGTATTTTGGTAGGCAACTTGCTTGCAACAATTATGATGAATAGCATTAAATAAACTTTTCATATAATATTAACTAAAAAGGACACTATAATATTACAATTGTTAATGAATAACGTTTGACAAATGGTCTATTGTAATTGTACTGTATAATCTAAATAGCTCTGCATCTCAACTTTTATAATTAAACAGAATGGTTCGGCAATTAACTACAATTATAGAGTACAATTGTCAACAACATTATGATAAAAATGGTTTGGCACAGGCATTAGCAAATAGCAACAAAACCATTGATCATAATTGTTCGCCACATAGATTTTTTCAGTATAGCAATTGACAAATAAATTGTTTGGAATAGTCTGCCTATGTCTTCTTATAACTTGTTATAATTGAATAACAAAATTGCTGGTTCAACAAATTGGTCTGACAATTCTGTAGGAGGATGTACAATTCACCATCTGGACTAAAACAATTTAAAACCATACAATAACTTACATACCCTTGCAAAAAAAAAAAAAAACTTATATAGCAAACATGATAAGTAATTGAATAGGAATATTACAATACAACAGCGAATAATACATTACCTTTAATAGCATGTAATTTCCAACTATGACAACAAATATTATGTCCCAACCAAAAGTATATAACTATATGAAATCAAAATAAAAAATTTAACAATAAACTGGAAAAACAAAAAGAAAACAATCACAAATAAAAATTAAAAATTGACTACCTCTATTTCTTAAGAGAAATCATGTAATATATATATATATATATATAATATATATATTGTAACTAATACAGTATATCTTTTCATATTCATGAAAATTAATAATACACCACATCAATCCATTAATATTTACATTTATTCATGCATCTATACTCTTTCACAAATAACATAAATGCGCCTTTTCACATTTAATTAGACAAAATCAACGAATCAAACTAAATTCATAAAAAATAATGAAACATAAAACAATAAATATAAATGTGAAGTGTTTATATTTATCCAATTAAACATTAAACAAACGTATAACCATCAAAATATTTAATGTGAATGTAAAGTGTTTCTAAAAAATCTTGAATGCATGTAGTTATACCAAATAGCCTAGACCAATAGCATGCTGACATATGCAACAATTATAGAGTCATATGTGACATTCAAATAGCAAGTGTTTTAGAATTATATAGATGTATAGATATAAATTTTAGTTATCATAAAAAGATACATTCACATTAAAACTTTTTATTGGTATTTTTGAAAACGAAAGCATCATATACAAATACAATACTTAATTTTTGGAGTCAATACCGTAAACTAAAACGTGACAATAATCATAATTTTTTTTTTCTTTCTTTTCATATTTGCGATAAATAAAAGAGTTAATACACTAATTCCCTGATGTATGATGAAATAATAAAATCCCTTTGAAGTTTTGAAAATAATAGAATTTCTAGTACTACTAAGTTTTAAATGTTAAAAATAATCTGTGGTAATTTGGTTATCTTCATTTACTCATAGGGGGCGTTTGGTTCGGGTGTATCTGTCATTATTGGGGGTAAGTAATCTTATATTACTTGATTACCATATTTGGTTGTCAAATAATATAAGATACCGGTAATCTTCAAATACCAATAGTGATTACTATTGGTAATATTAGAGGTAATCTAATTACCTCTATTTTCTTAAGTTTTCTAAGATTATTAGGGTTATCTTTTTTTGTTACAATTTTATCCTTTATTAATAAAAAATTTGGACAATTAATGCCCCTATTTTAAAAGAAATTTACATTAATATCTTATTTCAATTTTACCCTTGTTTAATTAAAATTTTGGACAATAATGCCCTTATATTTAAAACAATTTACAGACCACCACTGCCACCCAGCCACCACTGTCGACACTGGGCCAACCACCACGGATCGCCGCCGGAAAGTCGTTGGAGTCCCTAAAAAAGAACCAGATTCGGTGGGAGGCTCCGGGAGGCTTCGGTGTGGCCTTTTCTGACCATATTAATGGTCGAAAAAGGCCATATCAGGCCAGATCTGGCCGTTAACGTCCAGATCTATTATGGCCGCTAACGGCCAGATCTCGTCCAGATCTGGCTGGAAATGGTCAGAATAGATTTGGCCATTTCTAGCCCCGTTTTCGACCAACAATATGGCTAGAAACGGCCATATCAAAGCCTCTTAGTCATTGTGAGCTACTCACAGGGACTTTCAGAGACTTCCGGCGGTGGTTTGCGGGGGCCGCAGGAGGTGGGGGTGATTTCGTCATAAATTAAAGTTTTATATAAACGAGGTGTTTTAGCTAAATCTGAAATATTGGGGGTTAAAAGAAATTATTCAAAAATTAATAATAAAAATAATATTATATTAATATTTTAAAAAAGGATAATTTAATAATTTAAATAACATACCCACCA